TCATGTTCTTACCCCCCCCAAAACCTAATATAACATATGATGAGAACTATTAAAGCATACCCGCATGAAATGAAACAGTTCCAAACCAGAACAGAAGTTAGGGTAAGGTCAAAAGCAATAATTGTATTTGTTCACCAGTAATGGCTAGCTACTTTAAAAGAAACTTGGTAACAACTAATTTTGACAATCATGAGAGAGCGTTGTCACATCTTCCATTCAAACTCGATTCTTCCCTTCTCTTCCCTGCCCCTTTTCTTTCCTGTTTCTTTCATTTCCTCTCCATTTTAATTTCTTTCCAGCCTGAATCAAGCCCCATTAGGGCTTGTTACTGATTATGTGACAAACTAAGCCAATTTCTCAAATCTTATCCTTTGTATTACAGAAAATGAAATATCTCTTCTTTTCCACTTCTTCTACGTGCCACTAAATTGTACCTGGCTGCAAGATCCCAACACAATCCAGTCAAACTCTTTGGGTTAGGAGCTGTCGGGGGTTAACAAAGAGCTCCTTGCCCAACCATGCACCCTGCCAGCACTGCTCAGGTCGATCTCCATGGAGACCCTGGGAGCATGGGGACATCCTGGGGTCTCCATGGAGACTGGCCAGAGGGACACAGGCAGGGGCTGCTGGGAAATTGAGTCCACTGTGGGCCCGATCTGGCCCGTGGGTGGGACTTTACCCACTCATGACTTAGCTCTAAATAAGCCTAAGATCTAAATTAAATCTCCTGATATTCCTATAGCATGTAGTTTTTCTAGCTCTCAAGCCTAGTAATTACTGTCCCCAGAATTTGGAAAAAGTTGGTTGCAATTGGAAGTGGTTAAGAAGAAGTTACACACAGAAGTTCTCAGAGTCATAGGCATATTCATTTAACAATAAAGCCAGTCCCAAGCATATTAAAAGTGATAAGTCAGGCCCATAGATATCATGGGATTGGTGCAAACATCAGGGCATTTCAAAGACAAAAAAAATTAGGGTCCTTTTTATTTGTTCTCTAGGTTTTTAAGCACTCCATTTACATTTTCCAGCTCTTCTGAAGTCTAAGAGCTAGAGAAATGTTAAAGGAAGATGAGATTTTGCTTGGAAACGTTTGCTCTAGGGATTCTAGAGAAACATCAAATATGGGATGAGTCTGTGACAATTAAAAAAGATTTAATTCTTTTTTTTTTAAAGGATTTATTTCTTTCTTAATTCTGCAGTGGATTCAAAATAGGGTAATCTGCACATAAACCTGAGGAATGTTTTTGCCCCACTGAAGCCCAAGTCCTGCCTGAGAAATCAAGCCATGCGCCGCAATGTTCATTGGACTAATGAAGATGGCTGCAAGGGTAGCAACCTGTTCTAGGTTTCCCCAGAGAAGACCGATTCAAATGAGCCCGCAAGACTTATGGTAAGGTATAAAACAGAGTCTTAGATTCAATTGTGGGTAAACACAGTGCTGTTACGCTATCACAGTATTACTGTGCTGTTACCCAGCAATCGTGGGCAACTCATGAGTAATCTGATGGCAGCCCAGTATCTTTACACAATAAAAGTTATTATAAAGGCAGAGCACAAAATGCTTTTTTTAATATACCATAATGAGTTGGCACCCAAAAACATTGCAATATGCTGCAGTCTTTTTACTGGTTCAAAATACCCAGTTCACCATAATACTTCTGAGAGCTGTATGTTTGTTTTCCATGAAAACATTTTTTTGCACAGCGGCAAAAAGGGATGTCTGCTTCAAAGCCATCAATACCACTTTCTGTCTAACAAGCTGGAGTGGATGTAGTAAGAGATGCACTGTTTTGATAGCATGGTGTTTTTTTCTCACTGCTGTATACTGCTGGACAGATCCAGCATGGCCTGTGGCCTCCCAATTCCCTGCAGGAGGTGCCAGCTGAAATGTCAGCTTTGAAATAACCAAGTAGCCGTCTTGAAGAAGAAGCAAGGGGAAGAAGGGGAGGGGGAGGGAGAGAGGTCTAGGTGATTGGTGACAAAGCTGAAACAAACTGATATTAAACCAAAAGTAAAATCTGTAAATGGAAGGATCAACAGTTGGCAAAATCTGTAAATATCTAGTTAACAGCTGGGGAAGAACAGGGTCACCATCCAGATGCCATAGAAGCGGAACCGACAGTTGTTCATAAAGCTTGTTAAATCTAATGAGCTAATGATTATCTACTGAATCTGAGACCTTGTCTACAATGAAAGGTTTTGCCCTTACCTCTGCTGGGATAGCTAGAGCATCAGCATACCCCACCAGGGCAGATGCAGTCACTCCTATGCAGAAGTGCTTAGGCTGATATAGCTTACTCTGGTTTGAGGCAGCAAAATAAGCTGGCTTTGCTTACAAGTATAACTGCACATACTCTGAGCCTTTCACTGCAGCAGATCTGTCTTGACAAAACTGCGCCCTTCACTGACACAGTGACACTGGTTTAAGGCACCCAAGTGTTTTATTGGATCCAGCTCCTAGTTTCACACTGTGCCTTAGTTCAATGCACGTAGAGAAGAGGATTGCAGGGCACATCTATACGTGAGGCTGCATCACCGTAGCAATGCGCTAGAGCGACGTAGCGTCCGTGGGCAAAACCCATGATGCTGTAGCTCCATCGCCAGAGCAATACGCTCCCCTGTTATAGCGTGTCACTACAGTGATGTAGTGACAAAAAATACCTGTGTGGTGTGCATGGCATTGTACAGGCTGTTACTGTGCCATCATTTAGTACTTCCAAAAGGATATCATGGGATAGTACAAATGGAAGTACTAAATAACAGCGCAGTAACAACAGCGCCATAGTGGTACGTGTAAATGCGCCCACAGAATCTCTCCCCTCCTACATGGAGCCCTATCTTGGGACAAGGACAGTCTCTCACTTTGTATTTGTCAAGATAGGGCATCCTGGGATCTCTGAAAACTACTGTAACATTCATGATCAAAATTGCACAGAGCTGCAACTGAAATTCATGGGGAGGAAGCAAATGTTGACTAGAAAAAAAGGGGGCCCTACTCAGCCTTTCTGAAAATTTATCTGTAGAATGGACCAAGTCCTCAGCTGATAGAAACCACCCCAGAACCACTGGCTAATGGAGTGACACTGAAAGATGTCACTTTAGGATCTGGCCCCAAGGCCATTCTCCTGGAACAGGTCTCCCGCCTACAATTTTTTCCCATGTTCTAACTGCCCCGGTGCTCAATGGTACTAAATCACTAATCTTTTTAAAAAGCAAATAATTATACTGCCTTAAATGTCTGCTTTGAGGCTGAAAATTTACTTCTAGAGTCTCTGTTATTTGTTCAGAAATCACTTTCTGTATCTATTGGGAAACTGACTTTATATCTGCTGAGACAAGAGCACGAAAATAATGTTCCCAACAGAAACCTCCCACCAGGAGTTTCCAGCTCAGTTATCTCTGTATTGCTATCTCTGTATTGCTGCTTATAAATGGGAAGCAAGTGACTACTCCCATTCAAAACAAGACATAACCACTCAACATTTCTCTGTTGCATGCATCTTCTACTCAGAACAGTTGCCTCGTTGATCTACATAAAATCTACTCTCAGGCCACAAGGTGTTTCATTCAATTTTCAGAGAGCCTTAAAACTCAGCTTTAGTGACTCAGGCCAAATATATAACTCATAGACTAGATCTGCCCACAGCAGCACAGTATACCTCCTGCCTCAAGTCATTCAAGACAGACGTACCTAGGGAATCTCTCTTTCCTGGCATCTCACAGGTGCAAGTAGCAGTCAGGGGGTGACATGAGAAATGTCTCAGAACCAATCAGTGCTTCTCTGTGATTTACAGCATATCTGCACCATCTGCATCCCTTTTAATTTACGCTTTAATTGAGCTTTCTGGCATAACTTGTTAGTCCTCTGTCATGTCAGGTATACGTTATTTGAAATATAAAAATGGGATACAGGAAGACAGCCAAAATAAAAAGTATGTGGGCCAAGGAGAGAAGACCTGTGAAACAAAATCAGAATTGTCTGGCTATTATTGTTACTATTACTATTATTGCTTGTTACTATAATGTCTATCTGTCAAAAAATGGGCTCCCAGTGTGCTAGGCACTGCACAAACCAAGAGTAATAAAAGTCCCTGACTCCAAGGGCTTAGAGTGTAAAAGATACTGGGTTGGGGAAAAGGTATATAAACATAAAACCTCTCCGCCAAGACATATTCAATTGGTCACAACTTTTGAAGCTCCTGCTCCTTCAAGAAAGCTCAATTAGTTAACACCTTTCCACCCCATTTATCCCCTAAACTGCTCCCACCTGCCAGTGACAAACCTTTCCAGCTCACCTGCACAAAAGATGAATCAGCAAAAATATAAAAGATATTCCATTCCTACACAAGGAATGAAAAAGATAGCTTAATCTTCATGGGCTTTTCCTTTTAAGATAAAAATGCAAAACTGGAAAAAAGGCAGCCACCGGGCAATAATGGCAACCGCCAGGTAAGCCTATAGTTGTCATGCTGAGCAGCAAATTACAATTCTCCTTTGTATGAAATCCTGGCTAACACCTGTGGCCAGGGGGACATTCACGGAGCAGAGGAAGAGCATGGGAGACCATGAAAGCAACCTGTAATCACAGTGTGCCATAGGTGCTAATTAGCCTGGCAACTAACCAAATGGCTGATATTAAAATCCCCTTATCTAGGAACTGCACATTTAAGCATTTCTACAGTTTGCACTACACTCGGCAAAGAGGCAGCAGGCTACTGAAGAAAGGAGAGAGACTGAAGCATATTACTAATAATTAACTAACAATCAGAACATCTCTTAGCTTAAAAAAAAAAAGCATTATCTGAAAGAAATACACATCTGAATACATCAGCAGCTGCCTTGAGAAAGCAACAGCAGCAACTCTGGAAAAATAAACATGAATGATCTCTCATGAGAAAGCTTAACAAATGGAAGTGAGATCACTGTGCTGGAGCCAGCAGCTGATAACACTGCAACTTATGATATGCATTCCTAAAAAAGGAAAATTTGTTTCTACATACCTGTCCAGTCTCCCACTATTTTAATATGGACCCCAAATGTGGCTTTGGTATCTGCAGGGCACTGAAAAAATTAAAGATGGTAAGGAACACTGCTGAGAGTAATAATGAAATAAACAGATTCAAGACATCATTTTGAGGCCAGGTTCTTACTTGGTGTAAATAGATGACTTTAATAAGCCATTCTGAATTACAACAGAAGATAATCTGTCCCCTTATTTACAAAGCAACTCAACATTAAAAATGCAGAAAGTCTAGACCAGGGGATTATGGATCTAATCATCCTGTAGGGACAGAGGATTCAAACGGACCTCCCAGCTCATTAAGTCCAGCATCCTGCAATTGCAGGCAACCATGCAACAAATATCTGTTCAAGAGCATCAAGTCCAATCCCTCCCACACACTGCTCTCCTCTGTTTGCAGAACAGTTCTGGAACATGTTCACCATTGGTATGACACAGAGCAGCTACTACTTGAAGTAGTTCCCAGCTGCATTGACCATAAGAGGCAGTTTTGGTGACTAAGGCAGATATTACACTTAAGACACAATTCATTTGTTAATCACATCTTAAATAGTAACTCAGCCACACATTCAAGCAATTAATGGCACCACCGAAAGGGAAACCAGCCACAAAAATATTACAAAAAAAAGTATAAGATTTTTGTGGCTGGTTTCCATCATGCCTTAAATTGGCAGGGTTAGGACCGCACTCAAATCTCCAGTCAGCTCCAGTGCAGTCCCCACTAGTCAAGAATCAATCAGGTGATTATTGGTCAGATTTGAGACCACACTGTAGCTCAAACAGGCCTTGGTACAATCTCTGCCAGCCACCAATCAGTCATTCGTTGGCCAGATCCAGGGCCACAGCTGGGGTTCAACTGGCTCCAGTGCAGTCCCTGTTGGCCAACAATCAGCTGATTGTAGGCTAGGTCTGGGACCACACTAGGGCTGATGGTCCATGCAGGCCAACAGTCAGCTAATCGTTGGCTGGTAAGGACCATCCCGGACAGTTTGAGTCCTGGTATAATCCCGGTTTAGCAGACTATCAACTGATTGTCAGCCAGCTCCAAGGATTATACAAGGACCATTTCCAGCCCCAATTCAGTCCTGAAACCATCTGAGAATTAGTTTATTGCTGCACACCCAGCTTTCAATTTGCTGGGTTGATCCTAGGTCCCCTCTGCATTGGCAAGTAAAGTGTATGCACATGTGGCATGGCAGAAGGCATGTCTGTTAGGATCAGGAATAAGATCCCACTGTGCCCTTAAATGAACATTTGTCAGTGGCCTAAGAAAAACAGGAGCATTCCCAGTATGACCAGCTCCTTGCATTCCACACTCATGAGCCAAGCTAAAAAACAATATGGTTTAAAAATGAAATAAAATAAAATAATAAATAAATGCTCCTTGTATCTGCTTTCTGGTTTTGGAACTTCCAAGGTTCGTGTTTCCAAGCTTATCTCCATAACAATGAGGGCTAGAAATTTAACAGAAAAAGTAAAAGCTGAGAATCAGTTGCACACACACAATTCATAAGAGTTTGGGCTTTAAGAAAATTATCAAGTGTTATGCAATGTATGATGCATGAAATCCCAAGAGTTGGCAGTGGTGTGCTCCAGCCATACTGATGTCACCGCACCCATGGTTCTACTCTAGGGGCTGTCAGCTCACACTGTATTTGTGGTAGCGGGGAGGAGCAAGTCCTCTCCCCCAAAAATATTTAAACCATAAATAGAACCCTTTTCCAGTGGCAAAGATGGACAAAGGGAGTGAGGCAGAACTGAAGACATGGCCCACCAAGTAAAAAATCCTTGCTACCAAGAGGAAAAGTCAAGACACACTGACAGACTTTAAAAAAACAAAAACCAGGTATGTCTTTAGAAAGAAGTTGTTTTCCTGTCAAATATCAAAACTATCAGTTTCTTCCAAACCTAGTGAAGCACCACTCCATTTTAACATGCATCTCCTATAAATTAATGGCTGATCCAACTCTGCCAACTCTACCAAGTACACAAGACAGGAATCAGAAAAGGGGCTCTCCTCTACTTTTACAGGTTTAGAGAAACGTGGATCAGTAGAGAAGACTGGAACTAAGGAAGTCTTAAAGTCTAAGACTTCTTCTAAGCCTGCGACTGACTGAGCCACTAATTAAAGTCATAACTTTTATAGCAAGAAAGGGACGGTTCAGTGGTTGGGGCACTAGACTACAACTGCAGAAACCTAGGTTCAGTTTTCTGATCTGCATGACTTTGGGCAAAAGTAGGTCTATATATTGTGTCTTTGCTTCTTTTTCATACCAGCGTAAAGCTAAGTTACAGCAGTATATACATGCTGTGTGCCCCCGGCCTTAGTTCAGGGTTTGGCAGCCTTTTACTATTGCAGGCCAGCACTTGCGACCCAGCCAGCGCTATGGAACACAGTCCTGATGCAGCCACTGCACTGACAGCGAGCACAGGAAGCAATGAGGAAGAGCAGCCCTCCATGGGACAACTGGCTGGAGAGGTTGGAGGTGATGGACATGCCATTAGCAAAACACAGACTGGATAAAACAGCTGGGGACTGATGCACCCTTAGCAAAATGTGGAGCAGATTTTACTTTCATGGACCAGATCCAATCCCTTTGTTGACCAGATATGGCCTGCAAGGTCTAGGTTGCCAACTCCTGCTTTAGTCTGTGCCTTAGTCCCTATGTATAAACGACAGACAATAGCACGTCCCTGCCTCTGAGGAATCTTGCGAAGGTAACTACATCAAAGACTGTATGGTGTTCAAATGCTAGAGTGAAAGGACCACATAATTTCCTGAGATGGATATGTAACAGCTCAAACACTTACCTACTCTCAGCAATGTTTGGGAAAGTTTGGCAAACATCTATGCCATGTCCACATGTGTGTGAACATTTGTTTCTCCAGGGACAAGAAGCAGCGGCATACCTTGGTGTGTGGCAGGTTACCCAGATGGGGTAGGGGAGGCTGAGGCCAACACTGGGATGGCCTCAGCAGCCTTACCTGGGTTCCTGGGGGCCTTCTGGGCCTGCAGCAGCAGCAATCCTGCCACTCGGACCCTGGCCAGCAGCCGGAGCAACCAGTCAGGCTCCCACTTGTGTCACTCCACTTTTTTTTGGCCCTGGGATCTCCCCAGGTCTAAACCCTTCCTCTACCCCCTCCCCACACAACGCCTACCTTGCAGCATGGAGAACAGCTGAATGTGCAGTATGTAGCACCACAGACATGTCTGCGGTGCCACATACTGCATGGATGTGCTCATCTGGATGCAGCCCTGGAGTTTAATCAAGAGCACCAAATGAAGCTACACTAGCTACAGACAGGTAAATTTGCAGGCCTTGGTC